AAGCCCATTTAAATACATCATAAAGATATTAAAATAGAAAATGACATCATAGTCATGGCTAAACATAGCTAAAAACCCTTAATCAGCATCATTTAACAGTAATATCTAAAAATGGAAATTACATCATAAAGGTATTAAAATAGAAAATGACATCATAGTCATGGCTAAAAATAAACAAAATCCTTAATCAGCATCAGCAACATTTTATAGTAATATCTAAAAATAAAATTCCTTTCTAACCATAAAAGCCCATTTAAATACATCATAACAGATATTAAAATAGAAAATGACATCATAGTCATGGCTAAACATAGCAAAAACCTTAATCAGCATCATTTAACAGTAATATCTAAAAATAAAAATTTCTTTGCAACCATAAAAGTAAAATAGAAAATGACATCATAATCATAGCTAAAAATAAACAAAAAATTTTTTTATTGGCAAATTTTAAATGGAGTTTATTATACTAAAACAATAAATTTGCAACCATAAACATGATAAAACCCCATTTAAACACATCATAAAAGTATTAAATAATTCAACTACATCATAAGGCTATAAAAATAGAAAATGACTTCATAGTCAAGGCTAAAGGTAAACAAAAAACCTTCATCAGCAAAATTTTATATTGGCAAATTTCCAATGAAGTTTATTACACTAAAATTGTTGGCAAATTTCCAATGCATTTATTAACAATAAAGTTATTGGCAAATTTCCAATTTACATAATTTAAAAGCAGTGTAGATGAGATATTTAAATGAGTTTGAATTACCAACCTTACACTGCTTTTAAATAATGTTCTTTACTCAATTATTTGTCTATTAAAATGGAAACCCTTGTTTTTTAACCTTTTTTCCCCTTATTCCTTAAACATTAGAGCCATAACCCCCCCCCTCCAAAGCCAATTATTACTTTCCAATGTAACTTAAATTTCCAATATACATAATTTTAAATTTCAAATCCTCATGATATATAACCGTATCATTATTATTTTCTTTCATATATAAATCTGAAACAACCATCTTTAAATGGAAAATTTTAAAGAAAAAAAAAGGAAAAAAAAAAATCCTACCTCCCACACATTTTTTCAACCCCCTTTTGATTCATCATCCCCCACCTCAATCACAACCTTCAATTTGTGGTATGGTACATTGCAATACAATTTCACAGAGATCCATACACTTGAACACAAGTTTTTGTTGCAAACTAAAAAAATCCTTATTTTTGACCAATATTTGGCCCCTTATTCATAAATGTTTGAGCAATTAACCCCAAAACTCAATTCCTACTTTCTCTTCGTGATAAAAAATAACTAACTTAAAATGTAAATTTTAAACAAAAAAAAAAGGAAAAAAAAAAATTACCCCTTTTTTGACCCCCGCCCCCCTTATGATTCATCACCCCCACCCCCCTTTCCCCCCAAACCAAGCTCAATAACAGCCTTGCCTTTGTGGTATGGTACCTTGTAATACAATTTTAGAGAGATCCATACACTTGAACACAAGTTATTGTCTAGAAACTAAAAAATGCTTATTTTAAACCCCTTTTTAGGCCCCTTATTACTAAACGTTTTGGGCAATTACCACAACACTCAATTCCAGCTTTCCCTTTGTGAAATGGAACCTTGTAGTAAAATTTCAGAAAGATCCATACACTTACACACAAGTTATTGTCATGAAACTAGAAAAATGCTTGTTTTTTGCCCCCTTTTGGCCCCTTATTCCTAAAATTTTGAGGCAATTAACCCCAAAATCAATCCCAGCATTGACCCTTTGTGATATGGAATCTTGTGGTACAATGTCAAAGAGATCCATATGCTAACACACAAGTTATGTCTGGAAGTTACAAAAATGCTTATTTTCGGCCCCTTTTTGGCCCCTAATTCCTTAACTGTTGGTACCATAACCCCCAAAATCAATCCCCACCTTCCTATTGTGGTATTGAACCTTATGGTGAAATTTCATAGAGATCCATTCACTTAAACTAAAGTTAGAGTGCGAAAACCATTGTGTATTCGGACGACGACGACGACGACGACGACGCCAACGTCATACCAATATACGACCTCAAAATTTTTTTGCGGTCGTATAAAAACTGCAAAATTTCCTTAAAATTACTAATTCAGGGGCAGCAACCCAACAACGGATTGTCTGATTCATCTGAAAATTTCAGGGCAGATAGATCTCAACCTGATGAACATTTTTACTCGTTGTTAGATTTTCTCTAAATGCTTTAGTTTCAGAGATATAAGCCAAAAACTGCATTTTACCCCATATGTTCTATTTTTAGCCATGTCGGCCATCTTGGTTGGCAGGCGGGGTCATTGGACACATTTTTTAAACTAGATACCCTAGTGATGATTGTGGCCAAGTTTGGTTAAATTTGGCACAGTAGTTTCAGAGGAGAAAATTTTTGTAAAAGTTAACAGACGACGACGGACGACAGTGATGAGAAAAGCTCCAGGGATGATCCCAGCTGTTTTCAAATGGGTCCCTTGACCATCAAATTGGGAATTTTTATCCCAATTGGGAATTTTTTGTGCATAAAATCTAAGGTGAAATAACATTATTTTCCTGTAAAAACGGAAAATGTATATTAAGTTTCATCTGTACACTGATGTAAGAAGTTGTAACATTTTGAATAATTCTGGATGGGCTACTGAATAGGATGTATATATCATATGTGAAAACCAGATCGCTTGACAGTTATTTGATTGAGACCAGGGAAGTTGTCACATTAAAAGATCATTGCACATGATGCACCATCTTTTGTAGGCTTGCATCTTACAATGTAGCTATGGTAACCTAGGCCTTTTACAATAATATATATATCAGCTAACATAAACCACTGAAAAAAATCATCCATTTAGGTATTTTTTTCAACAACAGATCATCTTTATAGAGGGTGGTAAAGGGTTTTTTTCGTGCAACTAGTTTTGCCATTTTTATTTCACATGCAGCCGTGAAAAAGATTCGTTATTCACCGTGGTTCGTGAAATCGGTAAAAAGATCAACGTGCAAGAAATTTTTAATTGTTCGTTCATCGTGAAATGGCAATTTTATTTCGCATTCTTCCATGCAGATACCCCCCCTTTACGCCCCTCTTTATAAATTTACCTTGATTCAAAGTGATTTCAAATTGAACTGGCCAATTGTCAAAGCAATTACGAAAGTTTATATACTTTATAATTGATAAGATATTTTGTGATTTTTGCTTGCTATTTAATATGTAGAAGGTTGCCATAGTTTAACTTTTGGTGTCACTCTAAGAAACAGGAAATTAAAGCATTGAACATTGTATTTTAATATTATTTTGATCATCTTCACAACTTTTGAAACAGTTCCATAATGTTGACATCGTATTAATAATTTCATGAATGATCTATCATCCACATGAATTTTCAAAAACACTCAAACTTATGACTTTTGCGGAAATAGAGCCTGACAAAATATAAAATAATTTATTTTACAAAGTTTTCATCATATTATATAACCGGCTCTGCTGGGCGATCTCCTTTTACGAGATCGTCGCCCATTAACATTTATTCATCAATGTTATATCAAAATTTGAATTTTGCTCTCTGTCGATGTTGATGTCTGCCTTGATGACACCCATTTTGACAAAAAGCATCTTTTTATCAACCTGCTGGGCGATCTGCTTTTACGAGATCAAATACTCTAATAACATCAAATCATTAAGGCCACATGTTGACATAATTTAATTGTTGTTAATAAAGTGAAATCGTTGACAGCATTCTTATCCGGATTTTAAACCGTTTTGACGACAAACTAGGAAAAATTATAGTTGCCTAAATCGATGATGGAAACATTTCCGAAAATATCAATTTTTATTTTATTTTTCTTGAATTGGGAATTTATATTCACTTAAATTTTTTGGGGCCGCCGGCCGATTTACGGGCCGCTAAGCGGCCCTAAACTATATAGTGGAATCATCCCTGAGCTCACTTGGCCCTTTGGGCCAGGTGAGCTAAAAAGGCAGGAATTTCTACAATCATTATATTCAACTGATAGTTTTTTCATATCAAATTACAATAATCCTTTATTACAATTATAGTTAGAAGTGGCTGGTGGGTTTGTTCCAGCTTGTCAGTATTATGAAACTGGGTTACTGTATACTGATATATTCAATGCAGCTGATTTTATTGCTGGTTTTGATTGAATTCATTAAATATTTGTAATCATTGTATATTAATCTAATGTAATTATTCAGATCACTTTGGGCGCTGTGATTAGCAATAAAACACTAGCTATTCTATTCCATTTGATGCCCTTAATCGGATCAAACAAAATAGTTATATTATTATAAACGAAATATAAGTATCTGTATGAAGATAATAGCAATATGCTCTATTCCAGCAATGCATCAGTTATTGTCCATAATCCTATCTTACAGTAACTGACAGCAATTATTACTTAATTAAACAGGACTAATTTTTTTTTAATATTCAATTTGCAAAATGATTTGGAGGTTTAATATACAAAAGTTGATAAATTCGCTATACACCATGCCTATGTATACAGAAGAAAAAGAACTCAAGCGTTTCAACTCTCACATTATTAACATATGTGTTAAAGAGTATTCCATGCATTATAAAATTAAAAGTAAGTGAGTACAAGTCCCTTATTATTATTGTCTGAAAAAAAAACCTGAATGGGCCTCTGCTCACGTGACCAGTCTGCTTACTATAAATACATCGATACAAAAAAAAATGCTGTGTCGATCGCATGTTTATGGTCTAAAATCAAATTAACCTACGTCGAGAAATATTGATGCATCTCAGTTATACCAATACAATAATAACTGTTGTTGCTAAATTACACCTGCATGTAGAAATGTAATCAAAATTTGAAAAGTGCCTTACCGAGTAAGGAGAATCAATGAGAGAAAACGAATGGTCCGGCTTATTTCGCTTGCAAAAAATAGATGCAATAATAAAAACATGGAAATTGTGTGTTTTCACACCAAGTTTATAAACCTACCTCTTCTTGCAGCACAGCAAAGTAGGTCAGCTTGTACATAAAATGCCAATGCTAATGACGTCCTTAACTGATAGGAGGAAACGCTTGGAAGCATAGCTAAAATCGGAAACCAGTGTATCAAGAGGCTAACCTGTGTTGTGGGTGAATATGATACAAAAAAATACAAATACAATACAAATACAAAAGCTTTATTTAAAGATCAGTTAGCAAGGCGAGATTTTTTTTAAATGTATATATACTGAATACATTAATTAGTTCAGTTTGTATATGATACATATATAACATCAGACCTTACTGGTTACCGGAATTTTGGAGACACCAAACCATGTACTTCAAGGTATATCTGAGATTGATTGATTGGTGTTTAACACCACTTTCAACACTATTGTGCTATTTCGTGGCGGTCAGTTTTAATTGGTGGAGGATGCCGGAGAGAACCACCGACCTTCTGTAGGAAAACTGACAGTCCTAGTCAATTAAGATTGGAGTCGAGTACAACTGCCCCGTACGGGATTCGACCTCACAACCCATATCGGAGAAAAAGGCAATATATGCCCTCATATTTTAGAATTCATTCATACATTTTTGTATTATTCAAAATTATCAGTCAATATGTGTTCTACAAGGATCACCAGTCCTTCACCTTTCATCTGATATCTTAATTACTAAAATATATTCTACATAGTTTTATATTTACACCTATGTGTAGGAACTATTTTGTTTTAAATCTGTACTTCTTTCCAGTATTCTTTTTGATTTGGTGGTGTTACAGCTTACAAAATCTATCCAAATTATTTTTGTAAAGAATTCCGCTCAAACTTCGGTGATACGGGCCGCTTAAGCTTGCAGTGAGATGATAGTTTGAGGCTCCACGTTGAAGGCTTCGTGACTGTGACTTTGAGTTGAAGAACAGCAATAAAAGCTCTGTTCCCTTGTTTTTTGTGTGTTTTTTGTTGTACATGTACTGATTTTGTGTCATGGATGGATACCTCATATCCTTTGTTTTTCTATTATATTCTAGTCACGCACGGCGGACATCATTTACGTATTGTAATGATTGAACTTTTAAACTGAAATTGACAAAAATAAAACATAAGATATAGACATCATAGTAAACATAGATATTAAGACATAACAACACACAAAGCATATTACCTTAAGCATGCAAAATGATAATCATGTACAACGCCACAAGAGTACATATGTAAAAAAAAAAAAAGAAGTCAAGTTATTCAAAAATATGAGCCATTTCCCCTAACCGTCTGACTTGTAGAGTTGAAACCTTTGGGTTCAACAATCAAGTAAATGTTGGATGATATATAGTTGACGAATTTTAACGCTCTTTCTTGTATTTTTGCCAAGTACCTGTTTTTTTTCTGTACACGAATGCCAAGCCAAAGATTAAAAAAATGGAGGCGATGCAATTTGATGTGTGTCGTTATGCCACTTTGATTTACCATGATCTAATTACCTATAAAATAGTCAGTTATTTCATGCTATAATTGGGTTTAAACATTTTTTGTATAGATATTTAGGGCGGGGGTGTTATACTTTGATTTGAATGTTTTAATTGAACTCTATATATTGTAACATAGGTCCGTTAGGATCCTGGGCGTGGTTCACCGTTTGACTCGAAGAAAAGGTTGGTCCAGGATGCCAGGTATGCACATAGTAACATCTTCGTTATCCAAAGATTACAATCTGGACGGGCTTGGTCGTAACTTTTGGCTAGCGAAGAGTGTATCGTAAGGAATCAGAAAAAAGATATTTTGATAAATCAATGGTTATATAACAGCCTTGGTGATTCAGTACACACGAGCATCAATTAAATGGCCCTTTTTTGTACTGAGAGAAACCAGGAATAATGTTAATCATTTAAGGTGACAACGATTTGCCATGATTTATCTTTGGTAGATAAAGTGAAAAAGACTCCTTGTTATTTTGAGACCAAGGTCACGCCAATCTAATAGACACACCACAGACAGTCATATAATACAATGTATTAAAAGTCTCTCGACACAAAATTGGACAAGTCCATATTCTGGACACTCTGGGACCGAAAAGTCACTTGCGGTGACATAAAAGTGGTCGAAATTGAAATATCTAACCGGTAATTTTACTCATAGTTTCAAGTTGGTTAAATAAGATATGAGAAATAAAAATTCGAAAAATATATTATCACAACATTCCAGCAGTACTCAGTGTGCATATGGAATATATACCTCCTAGTTGATACGATGTCTCAGAGCTTGTATTTCGTATCATATAGGGTTAGGGTTAGTATCATGATTTCATTGACAGAGGGTTGCTGCTGATAATAAAGCTATGGAACCAAGAGTTCCAAGTGGTGAAGTTGAAATATCACTTCGAAAATTTTACGGATGCCATCACGAGTTGGTTGACCGTTTTTGAATATCTGTTTCACTGGCAGACTGACGACGAATATGTTCCAATTGTAACCACAATCCTGTCCTCTTTTCCTCGAATGGGACCTACCGAATTAGACCTATCACCGGGTTTGTACTTACATGAACAACACGGCGGGTGTCACATGTTGAGAAGTATCTGCTTACCCTTCCGGAGCACCTCGGCCTGTTTCATTTTGTTGGGGTTCGTGTTGTTCAGTCTTTAGTTTTCTATGTTGTGTTTTTTTTCTGTTGTTTGTTTTTTCGTCGTTTTTCGTGTTTTGCCATGACAATGCCAGTTTGTTTTCGACTTATGAGTTAGAATATCACTTTGGTATAAGAGAGGAGAAGCCCGGATACCAAAAGGTCATTCAAACTCATAAGTCGAAAATAAACGGACAACGCCATGGCTTAATAAAAAAAGACAAACAGACACACAACAGTACACAACATATAAAACCAAAGACTGAGCAACAAGAACCCCACCAAAAACTAGGATCGATTATCTCAGGTGCTCCGGTATCTTTCACCTCTCTTTAATATGAACCGGCCGAAGATGATGCATAGGCCTTATCGTGGCAAAATAATATTCTTTATTCGCATCGACATTGTAATGATATACTGCGACATCAATTACGATTTTTTAATTAATGCTTTAAAGTGTCCAGTGACAAATATCATTCAGGGCATAATCAGGCCGACTAGAACCTAACTTATACAACAATTTTAATTTCTGAAAAGTGTTTGGACAAAGGTGTAGTTTGGAAATTTATAATCAATGAGCAAATGATAGCAAAATTAATGTGATAAGAAACTTGCTTTGGAACAGGCCACATGCGGAGCCTCAGCTTAGCTATCATTCTACTTGGTATGCCAGTTAAATTGCAATGACCCGGAAAATATGAACAATTCCAACACCGAGAAATATATTATAACACACTTCTACTGGAACCTTTCTTAGGAGGTACCAGACTTAAAAAATAAATAATGGGTGAGAATCTCCTAACATTGCACTTTGGAAATCCTTTTTTGGTTGCAACTATGCTTTAAAGGCTTCAACACGAATAAAGAAAGATACCTGGTAAACTTCAATGAGACAGTAACATAAGCTGTATATGTCTTTGATTTACTCGCATATACTAAAGTCATACTCATATGACCTAATGACATTTGATAAGAAAACGTGAATCCGACCAAGGATTTGTATAGTGATATACAAATCCTTGATCCGACGGATTATGCACAAATCATTTTTACCATTAGTGAACACATACTGTGAGGTAAACAAAACACCCAAACATACTTTTTTTCCTAAACTTACTATGTTTTCCTTATGAATTTTTGACTCCTTGCACTTTTTTTTGAATTCATGACAACTGGCCCCATTGCCAAATCGCCCCATTTTTTCACCAACTCGCCCCACTTTCTACCAACTTGCCCCACATGAAAAAGCCAAAGGGTAAAATTACGTTGAATTTAGTCCTGCCAACTCGCCACGTATAAAAAAGAATAATATTATCCTGATTAATAAAGGTCTGCCAACTCCCCCCACTTATGAAAAATTGTAAAATCCAGATGAATTTAATTTTAGTCCTGCCAACTCTCACCACTTATGAAAAAGAGTTTAATCCCGATGAATTCAGTCCTACCAACTCGCCCCACTTATGCAGAATCATATATTAGTTTTTTTTTTATTGGTATTACAAGTGGTTTTTTTTCTATTGTTATTTTAGCAGTACAGTTGGGGAGATTGTGTAGATTAAACTATCTTTCATAAGTGGGGCGAGTTAGCAGGACTAAATTCATCGGAATTTTACCCTTTTTCATAAGTGGGGCGAGTTGGCAGCAAGACTTCCAAAACAGTCATATTTGTCGGACAAATATAAATTTATCGGACATTGTCCAGCTGGGCCAAGCATGATTCAGACATCCTACTTGGGTTTGTCATTTCAATGTTCATGTAATTCAGAAAAATCAACCATTTTGACATGACCTTGTGCCCTAAACAGCCACACATTCCCAGTCATAAAAGTGACAGTTCTCTATAAACAAGCCCTACTCATTACAATCAAGGTTAATTAAGTGTTTAACAGGTGAGATTCACCTGTGATCACCTGTGTCAGGTAAACTATTTGTACCATCTTTTTGAAATTAATTTTTTTCTAAAAAAATAAAAACATTCCTGGTTTATTAAATCTAACCACTTTTTAGCAAAACAGATTTAGACTTTCAGGAAAACATATTTAAAACGATAAGATTTACAAAGGTGGTAAAAAAGTTTAACAGACAGAACCACGTCGATTGAAATACATGTATTACAAGTGTGCGCATGTGCACATGTGTGATATATATTATTAATAATGCATCCTAATTCATCTAAAACGATAAAAATGTTATTTATACCATTATCTTACATTCATCTCAAGTATTTTCCTCAAAAAATAACGTTGAATGAACTGCTTAAACTCAATAATGCTAGATAAAAATACACAGATTTTGCACAACCGCCTCTGTTCCACATTCTATCGTCGCCGTGTAAATATCCGGTATTGGAAAACATGTTTATCAAATAACTAAGCTGGTCCTCGACTGACTAATACACTTTGTTAAGTCTGCGGATATATGCCAATTGGAACCATGCACTATCAATGTAATTGTTAATGTCAAACATGGAATTTATATAAAAACTGAAAAAGTATGAAGTCTATGAAGTTTATCGTCCTTTAATAGTTTAATGGCTTTATCATATGGTTATGTCCATCTTTTGTTATGGGGGAACCTGTCTAAAGGGATAGAAAATAGGATTGAAAAAAATGTCGGTCTGGCTCAAATATTTTTTTGAAGCCCAGGTTGGCAGGACTAAATTCATCTGGATTTTACTATTTTTATAAGTGGGTTTATTTTCATAAATGGGATTAAACTCCTTTTCATAAGTGGGGCGAGTTGGTAGGACTGAATCCATCAGGATTAAACTCTTTTTCATAAGTGGGGCGAGTTGGCAGGATTAAATTCATCAGGATTTTACAAATTTTCAATAGTGGGGCGATTTGGCAGACCTTTATTCATTGGGAATTTGCTCTTTTCCATAAGTGTGGCGAGTTGGCAGGACTTAATTCAACGTGATTTTTTTTACCCTTTATCATAAGTGGGGCAACTTGCCAAGTTGGTAAACAAGACTGGGGAGAGTTGGTAGAAAGTGGGGCGAGTTTTATAGAATTTATGCTTATGCACAAAAAAAGATCCACATGTATTTGCACCTACCACAATCAACTTTTTTGAAAATTTGCCTTTAATCTGAACAAATACCTCAAAGCTCAATACTATAACTGAAGTAAAAACATGTATATCAGATGCATAAAATCATAAATTATGCACCTACATTAAACTTTTAAAGCCCATAGAAACAGGTATAAACAATTCAAATATACCAAGGATTTGTATAGTAAGATACTATACAAATCATTGAATATACCAACTTGGCCTTTTTTACCTTCTCTAATAAAGAGTTCCCAACTGGATATCAGCCTGTATAAAAGATGCAAAAATAGAATGCTGGTTTCTTTCTTTTTTTTTAATTTATTTTACTAGCATTTAGTAGGACTAAGTAATAATTTTGTATGGTTTTGTGAAATAATGTGGCTTCCAAATAAAGAAGATAAAATGTGTTAACCAGTGAAAACTGAATTTTTGCAACTTGGTATACTTACATATACTTATATATAATATAATACAAACAAGAATGTGTCCATAGTACACGGATGCCCCACTCGCACTATCATTTTCTATGTTCAGTGGACCGTGAAATTGGGGTCAAAACTCTAATTTGGCATTAAAATTAGAAAGATCATATCATAGAGAACATGTGTACTAAGTTTCAAGTTGATTGGACTTCAACTTCATCAAAAACTTTAACCTGAAGCGGGACAGACAGACGAATGAATGGACGAACGAACGGACGCACAGACCGAAAAACATAATGGCCCTCTACTACTGTATGTGGGGCATAAAAAACACATACAAATAGATAAATGGAGGGCTTTGAAATTAACTTCTAACTCAAACAAACTCAAATCAAGTAATAAAAGGTACAACAAAACAGAGTGAGTAGAATTTACTACTCATAACAATGAAGGTACACATTAGCAGAGGATGCATACATTCAATATGTTTTCTATTTAAATAGAAAAAAAAAACAGAGGAGTCCAGTCAAAATGGCTATGTTAACTGTAAAGAGTAGCTTTACACATTTTCTTACATTTAGTTAAGCTTAAATTATTTGATATATTTTCCTGCAAAATTTTATGTATGGAATGGTAAACTCTTGAAATAAAAAAAAGACTAAAATTTCCTGGGCCTATTGTATTGGGAGACACCATAATGAAGTGCAAAGAAATTAACACAAATGTACATTTGTACATGTACTATGAAAAGCTATCAAATCTTCAGGTTTTAATCCTGAAATTTTGAGTTAACTTATTTATGAAGGTTTTAACAAAACACACTGTCATGACCATTTTACGAACAAATATTATATAATAAACTTTTATCTGACTACTTAAACATGCTAGATCCCATTATAAATATTTTGATGAAAAATGGAAGGTTATCATGGTTATATTTCTGTACATTTAAATTAGCAGAATTGTTGTCATTGATGACAAATGTCAAGTGGCAACATACACTTTGTGATTTTAATTGACAAATGTTTTTGGGTCATCTCTTATTACCTCCAATATGTATTATATGTATATAGGCTAATTGCACAGTGTACATTAAATGCAGTAAAAATTCATTGATGTGACAAAATTTCAAAGCTTGATTAGTTATACTCAATTAACTTATTGTATTGTTTTTGTATTTTACAAGTTTATTGGGCAACTTATGATAGTGCTAGATTTCTATGCCCTTTTTATACGACCGCAAAAAATTTTTTGCGTGGTATAATGCTATGATGTAGGCGTAGTTGTCCGAAGACACATTTGGTTTCCAGACAGTAACTTTAGTTTAAGTGAATGGATCTCTATGAAATTTGACCAGAAGGTTCAATACCACAAAAGGAAGGTTGGGATTGATTTTGGGGGTAATTGCCCCAAACGTTCAGGGATTAGGAGCAAAAAAGGGGCCAAAAACAAGCATTTTTCTAGTTTCCAGACAATAACTTCTGTTTAAGTGTATGGATCTCTCTAAAATTGTACTACAAGGTTCCATACCACAAAGGGAAGGCTGGGATTGAGTTTAGGGGTAATTACTCCAAGGGGGGGTGGGGGTTGTCAAAAAGTTCAGGGGGGATTTTTTTTCTTCAAAATTTTTGAAATCTTCAATAGACCTTTTTCATATTAATTACTTTTGACTCCGGAGTTTATATTTTTTCGACAGGTTACCTATTCTGTGGTAAGACATCCTGGTACTCGGTCAAGTAAGAACAACGTAAAAAAGTAAAATCAAGCTTTTCATCGATTCAATCAGAAAACAGAAAACTTCCCCTCAAATTGCACGGATTATGTGTTTGATATTTCTTCTTTTGGTTGCTCTTACTTGAAAGAGTACCAGGATGTCTAACCACAGAAAAGGTAACCTGTCGAAAAATTATATAATCCGGAGTCAAAAGTCGGTAATATGAAAATAGTCTGTTGCACAGTATTGCACAATAGCAAGAAATCTTCAATTGCACAGTATTGCACAATAGCATAGTATTGCGCAACAGCACAGTATTGCGCAATAGCAAGAAATCTTCAATTGCACAGTACTGCGCAATAGCACAGTATTGTACAATAGCACAGTATTGGGCAATAGCAAGAAATCTTCAATTGCACAGTATTGTGCAATAACAAGAAATCTTCAATAGCACAGTATTGGGCAATAGCAAGAAATCTTCAATTGCACAGTATTGCGCAATAGCTGTATGATATGCTGAATCTTATTGTGCATTTAATTTTTTTATTTTGGGCCCTGTTTTCAAATAAGTCTATATTAAGGTTTGAAGGGTCCAAAATTAAACTTTGTTTGATTTCAACTAAAATTAAATTTTTGGTGTTTTTTTATATGCTGAATCGAACCATGTTGTTAGATTTTGGATATCAGACCATTACAATTAAATGTGCCGATTTCAAATTTTTAAGATCTTTGACCACATTTATTTTGTGTCAGAAACCTATATTATGTCAAAAATTTGATCACAATCCAAATTCAGACAGTATCAAGCTTGAATGTTCTGTCCAAACTTGCCCCAACTGTTCAGGGTTAGACCTCTGCGGTCGTATCAGGCTGCGCTCAGCGAAGCATTTTATTGATAGTCTGTTGATATTACCCTGCATCTGTCACTTCAATGCTTTGATAGTCTGTTGATATTACCCTGCATCTGTCACTTCAATTCTTTGATAGTCTGTTGATATTACCCTGCATCTGTCACTTCAATGCTTTGATAGTCTGTTGATATTACCCTGTATCTGTCACTTCAATGCTTTGATCGTCTGTTGATATTACCCTGCATCTGTCACTTCAATGCTCTCTTTCTTTGATTTGGGTTTTTTTTCAAGTATATGTAAAGTTGTCTTATATTGAAATAATGCAATTTTCTTATTTCAGCCTCATCAATATTAAGAAGATTCATACCTAGGAAGACAACATGGCAGTATGGGCAAAGGTTGATGTCTTCAACATTAGATGTTTCTGTAGATGAACAGACAGGTATAAAATATAAACTTTTCTTGTAAGAGAGCAGCCAATTTATTTTAAGCAAAAAGAGAAGGAGGCTTAGAAAGAATTTTTAAAAGTGCTGTGAAATGGAAGAGTAAATTGTGAGGGTCTGGCAGGGGTATGAAAAAAAAATAAAAATGATAAAATTGCATTACAGAGTAAATTAGTCATGTTTTCCTAGTTTTGATGAGAAATAATTTTAGGATTTATCTGGAATTCCCTTAATGAATGCGTAAACATAAAATCAGTGATGGCTTCCATAACATGAATACATGCTATTTTTATTTAATTTTCTGTAGAATCTAAAAATTATGGATAGATGAGTGCAAATATAGTGTTGACCAAGAAATCTCTCACATACATTTTTAAAAAGATATTTTTCAATGGAATACTTATCAGTAATATAAAGTATGTGCTGAAATAAAATAGAACTTAATGGTGTATATATAGATTTTTTAGATTTATTTTATTTAAAGTGCATCCTGATACAATATACATAATATAACATCACAATTACAATTCAATTCAGCAAAAGATTATAATATCAGCCAGCCTTTAGAGGCTTATGAAACACTAACAATATTCATACAAGCATATAAACATACAAAGAAAATATAAACTATGAATTGATCTTTCTGAAAACTGAGATTATTATAATTTGTTAAAACAGCATATGTTTTTTTTTGTCATTGTTCTATTATGTCATTGCATAAATGGTATGTGACGTCTACGAATACATATATAAATATATATACATATATTGAACTGGGAAATCATTATATAATAAAGATAGCAACTGTGTGTAACATTTTATGTGTTATTATTCCAGGTATAGCTTTATTGAAAATGAAAAGAAAACCAGTGAACAGTTTGAACCTTGAGTTCCTTCAGGATATCAGAAGTACCATAGTCACATTAGAACAAAACAAGAAATGTAAAGGCTTGGTGTTAACTTCTGTAAGCAATGTATTTAAAATTCTTTGTCAAAAACTTATATACATGTGGAAATGCCAGTAAATCATTGCACCTCCCATGAACTAATCTAGAAGAGAAGAAAAAAATGCTAAATTTGCCTACTTTACCAATTTGCTGATTTGACGAACCACTCTGTCATAAACAGAAAATTCTAAACTATGTATGGTTTATATGTATTGTTGAGTGTAGATGCATGTTCATCTAACATTATTTACCTGATATTAACCTCATTTGCATGGTTCACTGATTTATGTTAAATTTAGGGTAAGGTAAGTTTGTGGTAAGGTAAGACTAGCGATTATGTAATTTGACCGCAAAAAAATATGGATCTTTATGAAATTGTACTGCAAGGTTCCATATCACAAAGGGAAAGCTGGGTTTGAGTTTGGGGGTAATTGCCCTAAACGTTTAGGAATTTGGGGCCAAAAAGGGGCCATAAAACAAGCATTTTTCTAGTTTCCAGACAATAACTTGTTTAAGTGTATGGATCTCTCTGAAATTGTACTGCAAGGTACCATACCACAAATGGATAGCTGGGATTGATTTGGGGGTGATGAATCATAAGGAGGTTCAAAAAATTTGGGGGAGGGATATTTTTTTCCTTTTTTTTCTAAAAAATTTTCCATTTTAAATTGGTTATTTCTGATTTATATATAAAAGCAAATAATAATGATATGGTTTGAATAGGTAAATTAAAATTTTTTAAGTTCTTAGACCACTTTCATTCTGTGTCAGAAACCTATGCTGTGTCAAATATTTAATTACAATCCAAATTCAGTGCTGTATCAAGCTTGAATGTTGTGTCCATACTTGCCCCAACTGTTCAGGGTTCGACCTCTGCGGTCGTATCAAACTGCGCCCCAGCGGAGCATTTTATTTAATTTACCTATTAGATTTGACTATGTTTAAAATTGGTTATTTATATATTCTTACAAATAATGCCCATGTATGAAATGTTCATCACATTTTTCTCAGGAACTACCAATCTGTAAGCTGGGTACCCTGAAATTTAGTATCAAGCCATGTGTGAATATGCTCATGCTTTACTGTTTGATTCATTTTCGTTTCCAGTTCTCATCAACCTACTGTTTACCAAATTCTTATAGCGAGGGCATCATTAGTGATCAATATTGCACAGTTTAAATTTCTAATATTGTTTATATATATGACAATATGACGATTGAAACAACTATAGGGCAGCTTTTATCAATGATCAAAATCCATACCGTATAGAAAGATATAAAGGCCCTGGCATGACGAAATGTTGAAAAAAATCAGTGTTTGCTTCTGCAATCATTTATTCCTTCATTTGGAAATAGAATTATGGTTATAATGTTGTGATGTCCTAGAGATACATGTCATAGATGTATATGTCAAGTGTCAACCAATTCCATCGTTGACTTAGATCTGACAAGAAATACAAAGGGAAAGGATTGATCAGTTCTGTTTATTTTATAGTAAAATGCATGTTCTGATTTTCTTTTCAAAACATGTATAATTCACAATAATAAGCTAAGAGATTATGTTAATGGTGTAATAATTCACATTGCCAAATTTCAAGCATATTTTCTGAAGTATACACTAAAACATTTTGATAAGTTAATGATATCCTGAGCACTGGATATTCTACCATTGGTTTAACCTTTATTTTATTTTGTTGTTCTAGCTATGAAATTATCCATAGTCTGAAGTGGTAAATTAACATGGCAGATTACTGAGAAAATTTCATCATGTAAGAATGCAAAATAAGATGAGAGTATCATATATTTTTACATTTTTCTTCAGGATGTACCAAAAATATTTTCTGCTGGCATTGATATATTGGAAATGTACCAACCTAATGAGGAAAGACTACATAGTTTCTGGAGGGCATTACAAGATATGTGGCTACAGCTTTACGTGACACCACTAGCAACAATTGCAGCAATAAATGTAAGTCACAGTGTATTAACAATATACTAATTAGAATGTAAATAAAAGAATACATGGAGTAAAAGTCAATAAAACAGGAAAACAGAGACTTGATTAAACAAAGAAAGACATCTTATACAACAAAAAGTGAATGCTTACTGTACAAGTATAATGCAGTAATTATATATTATCGTTGGTTATCTCAACAAGATTGATTTTCTCGCTTGAGCCGGTACAATCGAGTTGAGATGACCAATGATAATCTGTTTATCGCTATTTTACCTATGAAGACGTTGTTAATTTCCTTGACAACGGCACATGTTCCCTTAGTTTCTAGCGATAATTTTCATATCACTCGACTCCGCTGAGACTGGAAATTATCAGTCAGCAAGATCAAAGGAAAAATTCGTAAAATAGCGATAATAAAGTAAATGGTAGCACACAATGTACAAACAAAACTTTCAAACAGATGTATAGATGATTTGATGACTGAATGTTTGATATAAATTTAGCTGGTAATCTTTCAAACATGATTGTTACAAGAAGTTTTACAGTAAAATGGATTTAAACTTTTTAATTTATTTCCTCCAACACAAAAGACGTTATGTGGATTAAAGTAGATAAATCCTATGGTATTTAAATTAACTTAAGCTCATAAATCTTAAAACAGTTATTTTAAGGAAAATTTTGAGTTCAAAGTAAATGTAGTATCACATTATATCGAATGAATGTATACAAAGGACATTTTTAGTGAAAGGCTTACAAAGACAGTTGTTAGAACAGTTGTTTTAAATCCTGTGAGAAATGGACTTTTTAACTGTGAAGGAATGTGTAAAGAATAGATAGACTTTTGACCAATATTAGACTTTTAAATTAAAGAAAGCTGTACATTATCAGTGTTGGGTTTATGTGTATATAACTGCTTGCTTTTATGGACCATATTCTACAGTGTAGCTCAAAAATACAAACTTTGGCCCCCACATACAGAAGAAGGTTTAAACTATTTTTAAATTTTGTTGCACACTATTTACACAGATATTTCTGTGCTCCAAAAAGCGGAGAAACCTACTATCAAGAAAAAAAAAAAAGAAAGATGTCTTATATTTTCCCAACTTTTATATTTTCACTTTCTTTTTTTGCAACTCCTTATTATATCTGTATGAATATTAAAGTAGTGTTCTTAAGTGAAAAGTTTTAGTTATTATGGTGTAATAATACTCTTCAGAACGAAGTTTTGTAGGGAATAATGTGTTTGACCCGTCCGTCCTTCTGTCCATCCATCCATCAGTCCGTCAGTCCTGTTCTTGTCATCGCAATTCCTCTGAAACAACAATACAGAATTTCATGAAACTTTGTAGATAACAAGGACATACTATGCAGATGTGCATATCGACAGGAAATTATGATTCAACTTTTTTTCTAGCAGTTATGCCCTTTGAACTTAGAATTTCAGCCTAAATGTACTACTGCAACAGTTTTTCATTGCAACTCCTCTAAAACCACACAACAGAATTTCAGTAAACTTTGTAGATAATTAGGACATACTATGTAGATGTGCATATTGACAGGAAATTGTGATTCAATTTTTTTTTCTAGGAGTTATGTCCCTTTGAACTTGGAATTTTGGCCTATATATACTACTGCAACAGTTTGTCATCGCAACTCCTCTGAATCCATATGATAGAATTTCATGGAACTTTGTAGATAATTAGGACATACTATGTAGATGTGCATATCGACAAAAAGTTATGATTCAATTTTTTTTTCTAGGAGTTATGTCCCTTTGAACTTGGAATTTTGGCCTATATATACTACTGCAACAGTTTGTCATCGCAACTCCTCTGAATCCATATGATAGAATTTCATGGAAATTTGTAGATAATTAGAACATACTATGTAGATGTGCATATCGACAAGAAATTATGATTCAATATTTTTTCTTGGAGTTATGCCTCTTTGAACTTAAAATGTTGGTCTAAATATACTACTGCAACAGTTTGTCATCACAACTCCTCTGAATCCACACTACAGAATTTCATGAAACTTTGTAGATAATAAGAACATATCAGTTGACTTTTGTAGGAGTAATGAGTCTTTGAACTTAGTAATCTGGTGATATTTTGTTTGCCCTGTGACAATGTGGGATATGTGAGCTTGCTCACAAAGGTTCTTTATTATACAATATGTAATGTGATCATTTTTAGGGACACAGTCCAGCAGGTGGATGCTTGATATCTATATCATGTGATTACAGAATAATGGCTCCTAATTACACCATTGGCCTTAATGAGACTTTATTGGTAAGAGATATGTATGCTGATGATTAGCTTCTTTTATCAGATATAAAAAAATTACTACAGATATATTTTTGTTTTGTTTAATCTGTTCTTTCCTGATCCTGCATGGAGTCAGGATTTTTTTTACAGCCAATCATTTTTGGCCTATATGGCCCTGAAAACTTTCCAAAACTGCCCTAGTCAAATTAGGTTGACAGCAAGAATTCAAATTCACAATTCATGGCCCATATACCTTTTTTAGATGTGCTATGCCCTTAATGAAGGAAAAATTGAAAATCTGAAAAAATAACCAAAATCTTGTTGGTGGGAGTAACATGGTAGCTACTACATTAATGATCTAGACTATCAACCTACATCTATTCACATTTAGTGAAGAAACTCAGATCTGTATTATATAGCCAGATCAGTTTAGGTCTGTAAAACCTTGGATATTGTTTTATCAGAAATATGTAAAATTTATCATTTTTGATGACTTTGTTCATGTTGTTTTAAATGTTTCTTTAGCAAGACAAATTCCAATGACATCAAGTACACTGCCTGTCAAAATGTTTGTGCTGCTGTATCTGCTAAAAAAGTATTTGAGTGAAACAGAACATCAGTTAGATGATGGGGGATTATATTAAAGAAATAGACTAGAATTTAGTATTTTTTTGTGAATATGATATGAATTCAAATTGCTGAATAATATTAAGGGCAGGCTACAGATAATCTACCTAAATTGTATTTATTTAAAGACAAGAAATGACTTAATTTCAGACATTTTTTTGTACATTTCAGGGTATAGTTGCTCCATTTTGGTGAGTACACAAAGTTATAAAAGAAAATTATATTTATAATATATTAAGTTGAAGGTGACCTTGTGCCCCTCCCCCAATTTGGTTTTAAATAAGTTGAATTTCAGTTTCAAAAGACGATGACTACATTTGTAGTCATTCATGCTGACATTACTAACAGGTAGCATACATAGTAAAACAACAAGTCGGATAAAAATAATGGAACAAATGACATTAATGAAAAGTTGTCTTTCTTTTTACTTTAAAATATCTAATATTCAAAGACATTTTTTGAAAAATAAAGTCTCGTTACCCCTTGGTGTTTCTATTTTTTGTGATAAAACTAATGGCCTGATTTATACAGCTTTTAGTCTATTTATTTTACAAGACCCTCAGATTTTGAAATAGCTTATTGCCTTGTGTGATTTCTTTTCTTCACATTGTTTTACTTAATGAAATGTTTCATATTCAGGATTCATTGATAGTTTATAAATACAGTGTTAAATAAATAAATTGACAGGTTTAAAGATGCCATGTGTAATACTGTAGGACACAGAGAAGCAGAAATAGCATTAGCTCTTGGAAAGTTATACTCAACAGATGAAGCTCTGCAGAAGGGGTTGGTTGATGAAGTTGTTCCCTCTGAGCAAATAATGGAAGCTGCTCAAAAGAAGTTGTTAGAATATGTTAAAATACCAAGTAAGGAAATCATATTGCACTGCTTAAAAATTCAAACAAGTTAATTCAAACAAATACATAAAATTATTTGTTATGGTCATTTGATTCAGTGGGAAAATTAGATTAATCTTTCTTGGAATAAAGACATGAAAAGTGGTGGTGATCTGAACAATAAATCTAAAGAAGACAAAACCATGAAGGATAAATTTTTAGATCAGTGTAGAAATGAGTAATCACTGCTGTTTTATCATAGTTTCAACAAAGTTGACCACTGCTTATAAAGTAATAAATGTCGGCCACTCTGCAACATTAGGACTAAATCTATTGAACCATGTACTACATATTAACCAAATTGGGTTTGTTAATATCCTATTGTGAGAGAAAGACCTCATTTAATTTTGAGGTCACTTGGTCAAAGGTCAAGGTCATAGCTGACAGCTTCTTTTGATAGACTGAAATTTTGAAAAACGTTTGATTTCCAAATGATATTTGTTGAACCATATATCTAACTTTTACAAAACTGGATTTGATAGTGCCAATTGTAATGAAGAAGATTCCTATTAATTTTTACATCACTAGGTCAAGGTCACATTGTCAGAATCAAATGCAATCTAGGTAATATTATTAAAATCGTTCACCAAAACAATGTGATTGGCTAACAAAGGAAAATCAAAATGTGACCTTATTTTCATTTTGGGTATGAACAATAACATTACCCATATTCCTATAGATTTTGAAACAGAGATTTGATAGGCTGAAATAAGTGCAAATTTTTTGTCTCTGAATGATATAATTTGAATCATTTCATCCACCAAATATAGTCAACCTATTGGTTATAGTATTTGAGAAGAGGACCTAATCACATAAACTTTTAACATTGATCACTGATCTGTGAAATGAGGTTGAGGTCAGGTGAACCATGTCTGACAGACATGTTGACCTTGCTATGAACCAATATACCAAATCTAGTAATCCTATTACTCATAATAAGTGAGAAATTTACATGAAAAAAAAACAAACTTTTTTTAAACATTTACTGAACCATGAAAATAGGTCAAGGACAACAGACATATTGCAGACGGAAATCTTATAACATTAGGCATCTGTATACAAGGTATGAAGACTCCATGTCTTCAACCCTCTGAAATATAAAGCTTAATACAAAAAGTTTACGCTGCAGCCGCCAGATTATAATCCTTATGTCTCACATTCTGCAACTTTTGTCGCTGGCGAAACAAAAAACTGTGTTTTTTTTTACAAATCAATAAAGATCACAACTCAGCTTATGCACTCATGGTGCTTCTGTTATTTTCATGAATGTATTTTTGAAAATTTTCCTGAAATCTTCCTACAAGAATCAAAAGTCAATTTAAACTTTTTTCATATATTTTGAAGTAATATTCTTTTAGGTTACCTTTACTTTGTAAAGTTAGTACTGAATATACCGGTACATGAAATATTTGCAATGGACATTAAGCAAACAACAATCAATACTTTGATTTGATGATTATGATGATTTCTGTTGGATAAAATGGATTTCAGTCATAAGCCATATCTAGCAATTCATTTTGGATTTTTTTCAGATATGGCCAGGGCATTATCAAAACAATTAATGAGACAAGAAACAGCAGATAAATTACGCAGCAAACAGGATAGTGATATTCAAAATTTTGTAAACTTTTGTTTACAGGATAAAGTTCAGCAGTCATTGGGATTCTATTTAGAACAATTGAAAAAAAGGAAATCAAAATAGGTCATGATGATGTCAATTGATAATCAGATTATATTTTTATATCTACGGGTAGTTCTTCTTTTACACCATTCAGAGTACAGGTAAAGCATCTGTCATTTTTCGTTAATATTCCACTAATGCAGAAAATTTCAACAAAACCAAAAGCAATATCCACAAGTACAATAAATGGCAGAGCCAGGTTATCAGCAAGGTGGCAGCAACTCTCAAAACTTGAATAAATCTTTCAAAATTTCCATCAAAAGAGAACAAATAAAAAAAAAAAAAAAAAAGCAAAACCATATACCGTTATAATGGTTAACTTTGAAAGAATTGGAACATTAATTTCTAATAGTTTATTAAAGAAATATTTAAGAAATAAATGTTATAAATCATGTCATGACTACTGGACTGATGATACCATTAGGGACTTAAAGAAAACCAACAGTATTATAGATCGTGAGTCTAACTTGGCCAAAGGAGGCATTTTAACCTAACTATGATGAAATAAATTGGAGCAGCTGTTGTTCCTCTGATTTATAAAAAATAAAACATACTATTTCATTTGCAAAACATCAATAGCTTCTGTGGGGAGGGGTGGCTGTGCTCCCAGCCCCCCTGCCTTGGTAGATTCAGTGGTCAAGCTACGCCCATGCACTTACAAACTCAAACTCTTGTGTTTTTCAAATGTGAGACAGTTCTCTGTCCTTGCCATTATTGTTTTACATTGCAAGCAATATTGTCCAGGAAGACAAAATTTTCAAATTGTCAGGCACTAGATATATATAATGATAAGAGCTTAACTCTTCTTTAAATTTGGCACAAGAAAATATACTGTAAAATAGTTTGTTGCAAGACATACAGTCTTTTAAGATACAACTTTTTAACACACATGTAGCAATCGGTTATCACATGGGCACTGGCCACCTATTATCTGATGTACTTGAAATAACATTGTCTTGGACGAATTCGAAAATCAGTGCTGATCAATTATTTTTAATAGAGTTATGCCCCTTGGAAACATTAATTTTATGGAAAATTGCATCCTTAGCGCTCTCATGTGTACAATTCTTGCCAGAATTTTATGAAACTTATATCATAGATTTATAAAAGAAATGCCTTGGACGAGTTCGAAAATCAGTGCCGATGAATTATTTTCAAAAGAGTTATGCTCCTTGGAAATATTAATTATAATGAAAATTGCATCGTTAGCGCTCTCATTTGTACAATTTTTGCCAGATTTTTATGAAACTTATATCATAGGTTTATATTAGCAATGTCTTGGACGAGTTCGAAAATCAGTGCCGATCAAATTTTTATGGGCATTAAGTTTTACCCTTGTCCGTCCGTCCATCCGTCCGTACGTCCCAAAGTTGGTTTCCGTTCTCTAACTTTAGTTTGCCTCAACCAAATGTTATGAAACTTATACACAATGCTTATTACCACAAAACACAGATCACGTTTGAATTTTGGTGACGTTTTAACCATTCTAGAGTTATGCCCCTTTAAAAATTGAAAAATTGCTGAATTTTTCGTTTCCGTTCCCTCACTTTGTTATGTTATGAAACTTATACACAATGCTCATTACCACAAAATACAGATCAAGTTTGAATTTTGGTGGTGTCACTTTAATCATTCTAGAGTTATGCCCCTTTACAAAAGGAAAAATTGCTGAATTTTTTGTTTCCGTTCTCTAACTTAAGTTTGCCTCAACCAAATGTTATGAAACTTATATACAATGCTTATTACCACAAAATACAGATCAAGATGGATTTATGGTGGTGTAACTTTTACTGTTCTAGAATTATGCCCCTTTACAAATGGAAAGATTACTGAATTTTTCGTTTTCGTTCTCTAACTTAAGTTAGCCTCAACCAAATATTATGAAACTTATACACAATACTTATTACTACAAAACTCAGATCAAACAAATTTGGGTAGCATCACTTTCACTGTTCTTCAGTTATGTCCCTTTATAACTTTATATGATATGCAAGCTTGGGGAATCATCTGTGTCCCATGGACACATTTCCTATTTATTAGTCCCCTACTGACGAAGTTGAAGGGGACTTTAGGTTTGCACTCTTTCCTTCTGTCCGTCTGTCTGTCCTTCCGTCAGTCAGGCAAATCAGTTTTCCAGACTTTTTATGCCCCCACCGTAGCGGAGGGGGCATTAAGTTTTACCCTTGTCCGTCTGTACGTAAGTCGGTCCGTATGTCCGTCCGTGGGTACGTCCCAAAGTTGGTTTCTGTTCTCTAACTTTAGTTTGCCTCAACCAAATGTTACGAAACTTATAAACAACGCTTATTCCCACTAAATACAGATTAAGTTTGAATTTTGGTGGCGTCACTTTTACCGTTCTAGAGTTATGCCCCTTTACAAATGGAAAAATTGCTAAATTTTTCGTTTCCGTTCTCTAACTAAAGTTTGCCTCAACCAAATGTTATGAAACTTATACACAATGCTTATTACCACAATATACAGATCAAGTTTGAGTTTTGGTGCCGTCACTTTTACTGTTCTAGAGTTATGCCCTTTACAAATGGAAAAATTGCTAAGTTTTTCATTTTTTTTTTCTAAATATCAAGTAATTTTTAAAATTGGAGTTATCTTCCATTGTACATGATTATAGTTGAATCAACTACAATCAATGCTTTATACAATGCAATGTTTAATTTTGCCTTCCACTGATAAAATAAAGTAATTTTTACCCTTCATTCCTAAAAATTCTTGCCTTCTGGCAGAAAAAAGGGTAGGTAGGTTAAAAAGTAAAAAAAAATATTGGAATATTTTACTTAGACTACTAGTATATAGGGAAATGTTCTGGTGCTTAAAGTTAATGTGGACCCTTTGGCTAAAATGGCTGCGTTTTCACCTCAAAATTTACTCTGAGTACAGACAAACCTGTGCATCTGGAAAAGTTTTAAGGCATATCATGCTATATCGAAAAAATGTGCATTGCAAAATCCAGTTCAGTTTTTATACGACCGCAAAAATATTTTTTGTGGTCGTATATTGGTATGACATTGGCGTCGTCGTCGTCGTCGTTGTCCAAAGACACATTAGTTTTCGCACTCTAACTTTAGTTTAAGTAAATGGATCTCAATGAAATTTTACCATAAGGTTTAATACCACAAAAGGAAGGTGGGGATTGATTTTAGGAGTTAAGGAAAAAGGGGCCAAAAATAAGCATTTTTGTAACTTCCAGACATAACTTGTGTGTAAGTGTAAGGATCTCTCTGACATTGTACCACAAGGTTCCATATCACTTAGGGAATGCTGGGATTGATTTTGGGGGTAATTGCCTCCAAATTTTAGGAATTAAGGACCAAAAAGGGGCAAAAAACAAGCATTTTTCTAGTTTCATGACAATAACTTGTGTGTAAGTGTATGGATCTATCTGACATTGTATCACAAGGTTTCATATCACAAAGGGAATGCTGGGATTGATTTTGGGGGTAATTGCCTCCAAAATTTAGGAATTAGGGGCCAAAAAGGGGCAAAAAACAAGCATTTTTCTAGTTTCATGACAATAACTTGTGTGTAAGTGTATGGATCTCTCTGACATTGTATCACAAGGTTCCATATCACAAAGGGAATGCTGGGATTGATTTTGGGGGTAATTGCCGGCAAATTTTAGGAATTAGGGGCCAAAAAGGGGCAAAAAACAAGCATTTTTCTAGTTTCATGACAATAACTTGTGTGTAAGTGTATGGATCTTTATGAAATTGTACTACAAGGTTCCATATCACAAAGGGAAAGCTTGAATTGAGTTTGGGGGTAATTGCCCAAAATAGTTTAGGAAAAAGGGGCCAAAAATAAGCATTTTTCTAGTTTCCAGACAATAACTTGTGTTCAAATATATGGATCTCTCTGAAATTGTACTGCAAGGTACCATACCACAAAGGGAAGGCTGGGATTGATTTTGGGGGTAATTCCCTCAAAATTTTAGTAATTAGGGGCCATAAAAGGGCAAAAAAACAAGCATTTTTCTAGTTTCAGGACAATAACTTGTGTGTAAGTGTATGGATCTTTATGAAATTGTACTGCAAGGTTCCATATCACAAAGGGAAAGCTGGGTTTGAGTTTGGGGGTAATTGCCTCAAAATTTTAGGAATTAGGGGCCATAAAGGGGCAAAAAAACAAGTATTTTTCTAGTTTCAGGATAATAACTTGTGTGTAAGTGTATGGATCTTTATGAAATTGTACTACAAGGTTCCATATCACAAAGGGAAAGCTGGATTGAGTTTGGGGGTAATTGCCCTAAACGTTTAGGAATTTGGGGCCAAAAAGGGGCAAAAAAACAAGCATTTTTCTAGTTTCCAGACAATAACTTGTGTTCAAGTGTATGGATCTCTCTGAAATTGTACTGCAAGGTACCATACCACAAAGGGAAAGCTGGGATTGAGTTTGGGGTGATGAATCATAAGGGGGTTCAAAAAATTGGGGGGGGGGGGGGGGGGGGGGGATTTTTTTTTCTTTAAAATTTTCCATTTTAAATTGGTTATTTCTGATTTATATATAAAAGCAAATAATAATGATATGGTTTGAATAGGTAATTTAAAAATTTTTAAGTTCTTAGACCACATTCATTCTGTGTGAGAAACCTATGCTGTGTCAAATATTTAATTACAATCCAAATTCAGTGCTGTATCAAGCTTGAATGTTGTGTCCATACTTGCCCCAACTGTTCAGGGTTCGACCTCTGCGGTCGTATCAAGCTGCGCCCCAGCGGAGCATTTTATTAATTTTGTAAAATATAAAATGCATTTTAATTTTATTCATCTAAGGCATGCTATATCTTAAAAAATTTCCAGATACACAGTGATGTCTGTACTCAGAGTAAATTTGGAGGTGAAAACACTGCCATTTATGCCAAAGGGTCCACATGAACCTTAACCAAATTGTCTGGACTTTAAAGATGATTAACTAAAAATATCCATAAAAAGTGTTAAGGTAGGCATGAACATTTAGGATAGGTAGGGAAGAGCTTTATCACTTCTTTTTTTTTTTTTTATTTCTACTGAGAAATTGAAAATTAAAAATCTTTAGTCATCTTTGTTTAATTC